AATTGTTCTCTGGCATAAAGGTATGTAAATTGATTTAAACAAACTAATGTGATCATGAGGCTATATTAAAATGTCTTTTTCCCTGATTTATTTATTTATTTATTAGTATTAACCAACTGATAAAAATAACATCTTATGAATTTGAAAAAATATTAAAGATCTAAATTTTGACATTACTTTTAGACATGATTTAGGTTTTTAAAAATCAGTTTATATGCCTATGGATCAATATTATTTATTGTTCAAGTGAGATAATATTCACCATCACTTTATTATCATTTTTTTATTTTTCTTATATGCTAAGAAACTATTCACATTGAGTAGACAAGAATAGAAATCTACTATCAAAATATCACTCAATCCTTTGAATTCCTTTTGAGTAATGAGCCAAAAATTACAAAGCATTTTATCCCCCAAATGATTTTTAAATTGTCTATAGGGCCACTGGATTATGTCCTCCAGTTGGAGGCAAAAAATTGGAAACCTCTGATTAGCAAAATGGTTTTTGCTAAGACACTAGAATCATTCCCTTTTTCAACATCTATGCAAACACAAAGACTGTCCTTTTGTCTGCTGCTCTCCATTGGTATTATTTACTTTTATCACTAATAGGGGCAGCACACCTCAACTCACCACTCAGGCTGGATGGAAAAGAGAGAAAAGGTAATTGTGCTAAGAAAGGTGTGGGCAAAGAGAACAATTCATAGCCTTTGCCTCAGGCACTTTCCTAAATCCATCCATTTCAGGAAAGTACACGTGATAGTTGAGATTTTGGAAATTAATTCTCCTAAAACCAATTGTCTGTCCAGTTCCTGGTGCACACTCCAGTTTGAAGGCTGCTGTGTTAGAGCAGGAATAAAGGGCTGGACTTGGCTATGAGCCAGGATCGATAGTTTGGAGCTCCTTTTGCACCTACTGAAGACAGACTGCAAATCTGTAGACTAAAAATAGCGACTCAATCAGTGCTGTACTTTAGGGAATAAATTCGCCCAATCATTCAACAAATGCACCATTCTGTGTAGTGTGGATTCAAAAATGAAGACAATAAAGCCCCTGCCTTCCTGTGGTTTGCATCCTAATGGGAAAGGACAGGAAAATGAATACAAAAGCATAATGTCAGTGAGTGACGGAAACTATAAAAAACAAAAACAGGGATGATTCTGGACAGTATGCATAACAGCCCCTGTCTCATGGAGTGTAAATCCTAATGAGGGAGACTAGAAATAATGAAAGCAACAGCATAATTTCAAGTAGTAATGGTACCCACATCAGTAGTAATAAGTTATATAAAAAACATTAAAGGGGTATGTGTTTTTAGGAATTTTTTTTTTTTTGAAAGAGCAATGAAGAGATAACATTTTAGGATATCTGGGCCTAGACTTGAATCAAATGATCAAGTATGCCATGGGAAACCTAAGTAAAGAGTTTCACCAATTAGAACAGGCCAGAGGCAGAATATACTTGACATATTTGAGGAAAATAAGAAAGCTAGCCTGGTTAGAGCAGAGAGAATGTGTAAGAAAAGTAGGAAATGAAGTTGGAAAGAGTGCCAGGGGCAAAGTAATGTAGGGTCCTGGGGGCATGGAAAAGACTTTGCTTTTTATGCTTAAGGACAGAGAAAATACTTTGCACTGACTTCTATATTAAAAGTATCATTCTAGCCAAAACCAGTTTGGCTCAGTGGATAGAGCGTCAGCCTGCGGACTGAAAGGTCCCTGGTTCGATTCTGGTCAGGGGCATGTACTTGGTTGCGGGCACATCCCCAGTAGGGGGTGTGCAAGAGGCAACTGATGGATGATTCTTTCTCTATCCCTCTCTCTTCCTCTCTGTAAAAAATCAATAAAATATATTAAAAAAAATAAAAGTATCATTCTAGCTGTTCTATCAAGAATAGGATATAAAGAAGCAGGATTAAGAAGTCTTGGATTAGGCCCATAGAGAAGGGTAAGATTATAAACAAAGGAAGAAGGACAGACTAATAATGATGTTTGATGTCTCTCAAAGGAATGGTAGAGTTACAAAATGAGTAGAGGAAGTCATATTCCTAAGACACTGGAGTCGGATTAACTTCAAAACCAAATAGAGGTGGCAGCATGAATGGAGAGTGGGGAAATTGGAAGCTCTGAAAATTGGTAGTTGAGGGAATGTGGGTACCATTATAACAATAAAGAGATTAAGACCAGTTTGGGAGAGAAAGGGGCTAATGATAAATTTTGATTATGGTAAGTATATACCCATGAAGATGTTTAGCTGATATAGATCATACCTTTACTGTTGTCTTCAAACAGAAAATTTGAGGTCACTTTCACAAGTCTTAAGGAAAAAGCAAGAAGCTATTCTTTGGGGAGGGAAAATTACTATGGACAAACATGTTCACTGAAGAGTGGGAAATTAAAAGCCTGGGAGATAGAGAGGAGAGATTTACAGTGGAACTTCAGTTCTTGCACTTAATTCACTCCGGAAGGCTGTTGGAGAAGTGATTTGTTTGAAAACCAAGTCATTTTTACCCATTAGAAATAATACAAATTGAATCAATCTGTTCCAGATGCCCAACAATGCCATTATAAAAGTTCTACACAGTACATGTCCAATGTACTGTTTAATCTATAAATAAGCACTTCTTTTCTTAAATGTATTGAGAAATGTAGGGCAGTACCCTCTACTACCCTAAAACAAGACTCTTTTAAGCATTCAGTCCAGGATGTCTTTCAGGTCAAATGCAACATCTTTGCTTGTTTATATATCACTGCTTCCAAAATGGCTGTCACTGACTACTTTTCCTTGGTCCAAATCAAGTTTTTTACCTCTTCAGTTGTCAGTGATAGTTGTTTCTTTCACACCCTTAGCAACATTAGCACTATCAATGGCTTCTTTAGGTTTTAAAATTATGCTACAAAAGCATTCTCTCCTTTTTTGCCTCCGAGATGCTTTTTTTTTTTTTTTTTGTCACACTGAGGTATCAGCTTGAAAGGGTCGTCAGTTGGAAAACCAAGTTTGGTTCCACAGAAGAGATATTTTTTCTGAGAACATCTTGGTGGAGAACTGAATTGTTTGAGATGGGAGACATTTGAGAAACAAAGTTTGACTGTATTTGTAAACTCCTTTTACAAAGTTGACATAGCACAGTGTGTATGAATGGCTATGGGGCGAGGCTGTCAACATTCAAATACCTACTCTACTCTTTTCCAGTTCATGACTTTGAGTTACATCTTCTGCCCTTGATTTCTCTCTGAAAATCACTCTGGTAAGATTTATCTGATGGGGTAGTTGTGGAGCAGGACTTGCCAATCTGGAGTTCATGGAATTTCAGAGTATCTTTGAACCTTGAGTTAAAAAAAATATTTTTTCTATTAATCATTGATGAAAATGTTTTCTTCAATCACAAAGTCAGGCAATACTAGTAAAACATGGTAATATTAGAAGTGCATATGGCTTTGTTTCATGTAGAAATGACAGATATTTTCATGTTACAGTACAATGCTAGCAGATATTTCAAAATATTATCATCACTACTTCAAAATTACTGTTTATATTAAAATTGCTTTAAGGTATGCTGCTAGATTACATATCTTAATGACAGTGTGATCTTGGAATGTTTATACATTGGTTCTCACCTCTACATTGCTTTCCAGGATTTCCAAAATACCAATGTTGGTTTACTCCCAGTTGGAAGAATTGTTTCAATTTTGATAATGGTATTTAATTATAATGGATTCCTTTGCAATCCTCTGTATTTAATTCATGCATTTACAAGCGCTATTTTAAGACCAGGCCAGTCGGCTTTCTCAGACTATCAAACTGTGTCCATGATCCAAATGAAACACTCTTGAGCTAGACTCCAGGAGGAAGGAAGGCTCCCTAGGAAGCATGACAGCAGCACTTGGCTCATCGCACATGTTCAATAACCAGCCTGCTGCTGCTGTTCCTGGAAGGTTCGAGAGCAGGAGCTGAATTACGTCCTATTCCTTTTTGCATCCGAGGGTCTAGTACCTGCAGCTCGGTGCTCCATGAATGCTTCATGAGAATGAACTAAAGGAAGGTGTGCAGATTGGCACCTCCTTGGCAGGTGCCAGGAAGGGCTGTGAGGTTGTGGGTGTTATGCCCAAGTGTCATCAACCCCAAAGACTACCAGGGAGCTGAATCCGATGCAATTGCAGAAAGCCTGTATTTATTTCGGACTAGTCCGAGCTCAGTCCCACTTACACCCACGAGGGTATGGCGAGAAAGAGGAAGAACTTAACATATCAATGGGTTTTATAGGGAGGTGGTGCCGCTACCTTGGCTGACCTGATTGGTTGGGTTAGGCCTAGGGTCCATTTACCGGGAGCTGGACCCGCCCCACCCTGCCCTCTCACTCCACCTGCCCTCTCATGGGCAGCTACTGTGTCTCCAGGGGCTGGGGATTATGTCAGAGGCGGTTCAGAGGTCCCTTTCGGTGAGCCCCAGCTGTGTTCCTAAAAATGCCCTCCAGGAGCCTGGCCTGTGCCTTTTGTCTCCAGTGGCCAGGTCCTGCCTGACTAATGCCTCAAAGCGCTTCCACTCTATCCCAGCAGACGGGTCTGATGTGGGTCCAGGCCGCGCTGGGCGCCTTCCTAGGACTAGCCTCGGCCTCGGTGGCAGGAGGGCCTCGGGTTGGCCTCGGGTTGAGGTCAGGGAGCCGGAGATGCACGCTGCCCCGCAGCGCGGTCTCCATGGCAGCGCGGTCTCCATGGCGACAGCGGGGCGCGTGGCGCCGCTCCCTGGCCACGCCCACTTCCTGCCCCATCCCCGGCTTCCCAGGCCCCTCTCCCCGGGAACCGGATGCTCTGTCCGTTTCCTCCTCCTCCTCCTCCTCCTCCGCGTCCTCCGCCGCCACCGCAGGGGTCCCCGGCGGAGCCGCAGGCAGCCACCTCCAGGGCACGGGCGGGGCCCCGGCGGCGGCCGGCGTGGTGGCCGGTGCGGGGCGCCGGGCGGAGCTGGGCGCGCACGGTTACCGCGCGTGGAGGAGGCACCCGGCGGCGATGGGGGCCGCGGGCGCCCCTTCACGCCGCAGGCCGGCGGGGCGGCGACCCTGGCACCTGCCGGCCGGCAGCTTCCCGTTCCTGCTGCTCCTGCTGCTCCTGTGCATCCAGCTCGGCGGCGGACAGAAGAAGAAGGAGGTAGGACGGACCCCCCGGGCCTCCCTCCGCCGGCCGGGGCCGGGGCGGGGGTGGGGGTGGGGGTAGGGAGGGGAATGGATGCGTTGCTAGGCAACCCAGCCGCCGGGCCTAGGTGCTGTTGGCCTCGGGGCGGGCCTCGGGGGCGGGAAGCCTTGGGGCAGGGCCTTTGGGTGCCCCGGTCTCCGAGGTGGGTGAGCCCCCTGGGCTTTCTCAGCATCTCACACCTTTCAGACTCTCAGACCCCGGCGCCCTGGGCCCTAAATTGGAGTCCAGGACCTTGAGGGCACCTGGAGCCACGCACTGGAGCGTTTGGGATGTGAAAACACCCTTTGGGAGTGCCTGTGCCTGTGTTCCCGCCCCCCTTCCGCAGCCCTTGCTGGAGGCCACAGAGCCTGCGGTGGAGGATGTGTGCACCGCTGTAGTCTTCGTTATGCATTTTTATACGGTCTATTTTTAGTTTTTGTATGTTGATCTCCACACGTATAATTGGGAGAGTGACCTCCCATTAAGTCATGCAAATATATTTGTAAAGGTCGCATCACGTAAGGTCTGTCCTAGGCCTCTGATAACTTGGGTGAGGGCGAGGGTTGAAGTGACTGATTTTATTTACAGTGGAGCTATTTTGCAAATTTCAGTGATCCTTCTTTCCCTGGGATCCGGCAGGATCAGACAGATATTTATTTTGGAAGTGTGAATAAGGTCTCTAATTGCACATCCTTGTAGTTAAGAGTATTTTCCTTACATAATTCAAGATGGTTTTTCCTGGTGAAGTTTTACACGTGGCTCAAGAGATAATTCGGGTTTAAAATATTACACAGCTTCCTCGATAGCTGGGTAGAGAGAGTGGAAAACAAACAGAAAGCCACACACAGAAAATAATTTTGGTTCTCTTTCTCCTTGCCTGAAACAATTCTGAACTCAATCTTCTTCCCGTTAACTTTTTTTTTTTAATTCAAGTTGCTATTTATTCAGATTATTACAATTGTTCCTCTTTATTCCCTTTAACTTTTTTTATTTTAATATGAAAGTAGGCCATATAAAATTCTTGGTGGAGTTCTGGTGAGAGGTTTAGAAAAGAACCATTGTTAAATTAAAACTGTACTTACATATAAATTAAAGATATGTCTCCTAGCATTTTATATACCATGGTCCAAGAGTTTTAGATTTCATAGTCTGTCTTAAGACAGTGTGTTTTGTGTTTTTTTTTTTTTTTTTTTTTTGGGGGGGGGCGATTACCACAGCAGACAATTAAACGATGAGGAAATTCTGTTTTATCTCCTCGAAAGAACACTGTGATCACAGTAATTCTCAGGTGAAAGAAAAACTTTAAAAGAGGCCTAAAAAGTGTACATCCGCAAAAAGCATCTTCAATTTTGCATACTTATGTGAAAAACTTTGTTAATCTATCATAGTTATACGTTACAATAACACTTCAGTTAAAATATTTTTAAATGAAAAGTTCGGGAGAAAATGGTTGAGGATTAAAAAACAATTGTCTTCCCAAACTGCTTTTCTTTCTTTTAGGCGGGAGAGCCTAATACAGGCATATCTCATTTTATTGCACTTTTTTACAAATTGTAAAAAGTGTTGCATTTTTACAAGGTGTTGCATTTTTTACAAATTGAGGGTAAGCCTTTCCACCTGCAAAAAGTTTAGGATGTGCTTTGTTGCAGTAATCTGGAACCAAACCATCAATATCTCTGAGGTATGCCTGTATTATGTGCTGGTATTGCAGAATCCACCGGTTTTATTTAAGGGAAAAGAAGAGCAAAATAACAACTTACAAAGTGGACGTTTTAATACTCAATGAGCACCCATATCTGAAATCTTGTTCAGTTCTCTATCTGGTACTCGGTTAAAAAACTGATCTCTTCCAACAGAGGAAGAAAAACATTCTTTATTGGAAATGCTGGGAAATGGTTGGTTACCGAGGTGGTACTTTTTTGACCATATGTCTGTCTCTGCTGAGTTTAGAACCACATGCCCAGTGTGAGGTTTGCCACTATTGAACCAGAAAGTAAGGCAGTTAGAATTTAATTTACTACATTATGTATTACTGACATATGAATGATGTATTCCTTTGTTCTGGGGAAGCCAAATTGAAGTCTAAAGTTGAACCTGGGATCAAGAATGGATGTTAGACATATTTATTTATTTGTTTATTTAATATATTTTTACTGATTTCAGAGAGATAGAAACACCAATAATGAGAGAGAATCATCATTCGGCTGCCTCCTGCATGCCCCATATGGGGGTAGGGAGATTGAGCCTACAGCTCAGCCATTGCCCTGATTGGCAATCGAACCATGACCTCCTGGTTCGTAGGTCAACACTTAACCATTGAGCAACACTGGCCAGGCGGACCTTAGTCACTTTTAAGGAAGAAATAATTATGACAGTAATTTTTATCACCATAGGTTGTTGAGTCAAACAGATGGTTCAGTTACAGATCAGCTCCTGTCTAATTGTATGACATGAGACAAACCACCTGACTTTCCTGATTTTTAGTTTCTCCGCTTTAAAAACAGATAGAAGACTATCTAAAGTGCTTAATGCAATGTCTAGTACATGATGATTAATAATTGGTAGCTATTATTACATGTTCCGCATTTAAATGAAAGCGTTATATATGATGAGGTCCTAAAATGTGATAATACTCTTAAAAGTTAATTATTTTGCTAAATACTCGGACTTGATAATAATGATAAGTTATATAGTTACTGGAATAAATTGTCTAGTATCCTATATAATAAAACCCTAATATGCAAATCGACCGAATGGCAGAAGGACTGGTCGCTATGACTTGTTCTGTTCTGACCACCAGGGGACAGACACTCAACTTGGGAGCTGCCCCCGGGTGGTCAATGCACTCCCATAGGGGGAGTGCCGCTCAGCCAGAAGCCGGGCTCACTGCTGGCGAGCGCAGCAGCAGTGACAGAGCCTCTCCTGCCTCCACAGTAGCACTAAGGATGTCCCACTACTAGCTTAGGCCCGCTCCCTCTAAGGAGCAGGCCTAAGCCCTCAGTCAGACATCCCCCAGTGGCTGCCCAGTGGTGGTCAGTGCGCTCCCACAGGGGGAGTGCAACTCAACCAGAAGCTGGGCTCATGGCTGGCAAATGCAGCAGTGGTGGCAGGAGCCTCTCCCACCTCTGCTGCAGGTGGACAGTAAGGAGCAAGGGGTCCCAGATACTGAGAGGGTGTAGGATGGGCTGAAGGACCACTTGCAGTGCATGAATTTTGTGCACTGGGCCTCTAGTTTTATTATAAAACAGTGAGAATTCCAAGCTCTTGCATTGCTTGAGAACTTCCCAGTAGGACACTTTGCATCATGAAAGAATTGGTGGCATGTATGGATTTTTTTTTTGTATATATATATATATATATATATATATATATATATATATATATATAGGATGCCATCTAGGTTCTTTTTTGTGTGTGTGTGTATATGTGTGTGTGTGTGTTTCTTGATGGAGATATTTACAATCATTAAAAAATAATTAGTTTTGTTATATTCTCTAAGAATATAGTCAAGAGAAATAAGTGAACAGGCAAAGATAATTGACTAGAGATTTTTATAGTCACTTTCCTTAATTATGTTGAATACAGTCATTAAAAACTAATTTTTGAGTCCTTACTCATGTTGTCGTATGACTGTGGGAGACTAGCCTCTTAGTGGTATGTCATTTGCTCTTCTGGTGTGTCATGGAGTTTCTTTATTTTGATGGTGTTTCTATTATGTCATTAACACTTATCACCTAATCAACTTCATTTAGAATTGTTTTAATCTGTAATGGCCACTTCTGATAATATAAACAGAGCTCAAATCCTGTAATTATTTCCAGTGGACTTACTGACTTTGCCATCATCAAAAGCAGCTATTATAATAATTTGTCCTTTCTTCAAGAAAGTGATCAGTTACATGGATCAAGAAAGTATTAAAGGAAGTTTCTGTTTCATCTTTACCCCCCTGCCAAATTGTGCCTCCTAACACCAGCTAAAGTTCCTAACACTAGATAAGCTTTTTTATGCATCTATTTGCCAAAGCCAAAAATGTGGGCACATTTCACTTAGTCTTAAGCCTTTACTCCTTATGATTTATTTTGCACCACCTGTTCCCCCACCTCAGTTAAAGATCCTCCCCTTGCGAATTGTCTGACCACTGCTGGTTAGGGTGCCATCTAAGTTCTTTGCTTGCTTTTTAAGTGCTTTTCCTGAGTGAGCCTATGTGTAACTCTTCTGTTTCATATCTCACCACTCATACATGCTTCCCTCCAGCGCCAACTCAGACAGATTACTCCGTCCTGTTTCGGATGGGATTCCTCCCCAGTGCTCACATCGCTGGATCTCTGCGCTGCTTTCTTTAGAGCAGTGTTTCCCAAAGTGTGGTACGCGTACCCCCAGGGATACAGGAAGAGTTTGGTGGGGGTATGCGGTGCACCGGAGTTTGGTGGGAATATGTACTGCACTGTGCTTAGCTACGCCCAATTCTACATTCTCATGAGTACGAGGGGTACTCAGTGTTATGGAAATTATAGAAGGGGTACACATATGTCAAAAATTTGGGAAACACTGCTCTAGAGCACTGATGTGCATTTGCATCCATTTTTAGCACAGATGAGACCCTGGGAGTGGGTGGCTGAGGTGGCGTTGACCCTACTGTTGGAACTGATGGGGACATGGAGCTGAATGGGGAGGTATAAGTAAGATGGTTTATGTGCACTTTATTCAGTACTCAGAATGATGGGAGGGTGAAGGGTTGTGGCCAAGGGTTCATTAGATAGCAGTGACTAAACAAGGTCAGATAATGTTATGATTTTAAGATATACCTCCTAAAGGAGCGGGAGTTTTATGGGAGGATACAGAAGTAAGAGGGTGCTAGTTCTACTCCCATCCCCGACTGAACATTAAGGAGAATGCTTTCAATTTTAGTAGCTCTGGGGTTTGACGAAGAGGTTAAGGGAGTGAACACTCATTACAGAAATGTAATACATAAGGAA